GCTTATAATCCGTTTATGAATTCACTTTTTTTCTCCCTCTCTGTTCAGTTTAATTTCCTATCACATGACATACGCCACATTATCAACATAAACCGCTTGATAGTAAACATATTATAAGAGTTTACATGTAAGCTTAATGTTGAAATTATCTTTTATTTAACGAATCATAACTACTAGTTAATTGACAACCGGAAATATAAATATCAACAAAAATAACTGTGAACATAGGGGTTAATAAACATATCGAGCTTAATGATTATAATTTATCGATGGATTGTCTTTAAGAAAACTATATTATTTTTTTCACCAAAGACTGACGTCACTGATAGATGTCATTGAGGAGCAACCAACACTGAACAAATGTTTCCTCCTTGTATGATACCTCTTTAGACTTCACAGATGACCTGGCTCATCTTTCGCATGGAATTGCAAGAGAAGACGATCAGTGTAACAGCAGCCTCAGCAACAGTAGGTCTCAACATACACAAAGGAAAAAACAAGATCCGATAAAACACAACATGCACCAATCAACTCACACTTGACGAAGAAGCTTTGAAAGATGTGAAAACCTTTACATATCTGAGCAGCATCGTTAAAGAACACGGTGCATCTGATTCACATGTGAAGGTGTGGATCAGCAAAGCGAGAGCAGCATATCTACAATTGAAGAACATCTGCAGCTTTAAACAACTGTCTTCAAGCCAATACCAAAGTCAGAATTTCCAATACAAATGTCAAGAGAGTTCTATTGTATCGGGCGGAATCTTGCAGAACTACAAAAGCCATCATCCACAAGATACAAGTGTTTATTAACAGTTGTCTAAATAGAATACTTCGGATCAGTTGGCCAGACACTATTTGCAACAATCAACTGTGGGAAAGAACAAACCATATTCCAGCTGTGTAAGAAATCAGGAAGAAGCACTGGAAGTGGATAGGACACACATTGATAAAAGCACACAACTGCGTCACAAGACAAGGCCTCACATGGAATCCTCGAGGTCAAAGGAAAGGAAGAAGATCAAAGAATACATTACACCAAGAAGTTGTTACGGATATGAGAGGAATGAACAAGAATTGAATAGAACTAGAAAGGAAGGCCCAGAACAGAGTGAGTTGGTGAATGTTGGTCTATGGCTTTTGCTCCACTGGAGGTAACAGGAGTAAGTGAATGAATGAGGTATGATAATTCTTAGCATTGAGCATTCGTGACCCTAACAGGTACTGGACCTAATAATTTCCAATCCAATATTATGCAGTTAAACGTTAAACTAACAACATATTTCTGACTTGAATCAGTCGCCTATATTATTACAATCATCATTAAATATCATAATAGCCAATTTTAGAAGTCTTAAGTGTACACGGTTAAGGAGTACTATGTTGTGACGTATAAACTATAATATACTCCATGATTTTCAGTACCTATCTTAACTGAAATCAATCCATAGAGAATATCGCCTACACATCTTTATGTCAATACAAAGTTCTTGATTCTGACTGCTTCGATAGTATGCTGTTATATTTACACTTTTATATAATATATTATCAGTCACAATGAACATTCAATTGGATTAACTATGTTTATTCACAAAACTATCTCTATGTTACATTACTCATAAACAATTACATCATAGATTCAACTCCATTATGTAACAATGATGTATATTCGTAACTGACCATACTCAATATCAGCATAATTACTGTTGGGATATTCGGAAAATTATACCAATAATTATCATGTTAAGTCTAATGGTGTCCTTGGACTTTAAATGGACATTCTCTATTTGTTAAATATTGTACAAATGTTGTTTTCTATTTTATGGTACGATGTGGTCTGTTTGGCTGGTATATAAACAGAGTATGTTTGAAATATAACGATTCATATCTCAGAGTCTGAGGTTGGTGTTCTGGACTCAACTGGCTGGGCTAGACAGCGGAGCAGAGCCAGTCGGGACTCTAGGTCGTCCTTGCGTGTTTTGCATGTCATTGATTCGATCGATAATACGCTTCACTCCAATCTGCAGTCACAAGACACAACAATTACTGATATTGTCCTCCAAAATATTTTTAAACACTCATATGATCAATCTTTTTTCGATAAAGTTTTGTTCTCTGATCTAAATGGTTCTCTATCATTTCATGACCTACCTTCTTATCAAAAACACAATACACCTTAAAGATAGAAAGACAAAAGAAAGAAAAAGAAAAGAAAAAAAACGATAGTGAATTTGATATTGTTTATGATTAGACTTTAATTTATGATAATCTTACCAATATCTTATTATTTTCTATATGATAACATTAAGTAAATTTGATAATCCATTGTGTTTATTCTCCTTTTTTCTTTTTTCTTTTTTCTTTTTTTCTTTTTTTCTTGCAATAAGCATCAACTGTTTCTCTTTCTTTTTTTCTTTTTCTTTTCTTTTCGTCAATCATATAAATAAAAATAAAATAAGCAAATCACGTCGATATTGTTTTTGATAATGTAGATATCCTTTAAGCAATATAACAACTACCATATACATATCTTATCAAATAAATAACCTGAAATTGGGTATACAAATTGTATATATATAGATAGATAGATTCTGTGTTTCATATAATGGTAGAGTAATGTCCTTAGATGACCTTTATTCATTGAAGTTTAAAAATAGGAAAGAAAATATAGAAGAAAAAGAAGAACAAGAAGAAACAGAGTTTGATATTGATCCATTGTAAAAATTACAAAACAAAAAAAAACAAATGACAAATATGATTTGTAGTATAGGGGTTGTGGAGATTATTCTATTGAGATCACGAACCGATTGATGTTAGACTACCTTTGGAAACCTGAAATCACTGGATGGCCGTTTCGTTCTATTGTGGGACTCCTCAGCGGTGCTCATCCAAGATCCCGCTCGCTGATTGGTTGATGTTAGACATTATCATCACTGCATGCCGTCTCAGTGGTCCAGTAGGTTAAGCGTTCGCGCGCGAGACCGAAGGCCCTGGGTTCGAATCCCGCGGGGTGCGGGATCGTGGATGCGCACTGCTGAGGAGTCCCATACTAGGACGAAACGGCCGTCCAGTGCTTCCAGGTTTCCAAAGGTGGTCTAACATCAATCGGTTCGTGATCACAATCAAAAAATATAATTTGTTTAACAAAATATAAAAAAAGAAGGTTCAAGAAGAAAGAGAGTTTGATATTGTTCCATCGTGAAAATTACAAACCAAAAAACAAATGACAAATATCATTTGATTAAGAAAGTTGAAATCTATTTCATTCTGAAGAATAAAGGAAAGTAGGTACAAATTGGGAAATTTCTATAGTTGAGACCATAAGTCAATTGAAACTACAGCAATATGGAAAATCTAGAAGTATTGGACGGTCAACTTGTCCTAGTATGGGAATTCTCAGCAATGAACATCCACGATCTCACCTTGCAAGATTCGAACCCAGCATATATCGGTCTCGCACGCAAACGTTTAACCTTTAGACCATTGAGCTGACATCCAATGGTGTTACTGTCTAACTTCTACTAATCCACGAAGTTGAACAATACATACACCATTGTCTTCAGTGACTTACTATCTCATAACTGACCTGAAAACATTGAATAACCTTTTTGTCCCAGCATGAGACTTCTCCAAGTGTGAATCCATTATCTTTTTTCCAGGTGAAACTATGAATATAACCTTGGTTTATGATTTTCAACTATAAATAAGTATGTATATACGAAATATATCTCTGATGATCAAGTATTATCATTCAGAACTACCTTCATATTTGAAATTGTCAGTATTACATAATGTCCAGCACTTTGAAATCTGAATGAATTATGTAAAAATTTATTTCATATCAATATAATTGATGACTGTTATTTATTTACCCAAAACGTCCTGGTACGGCAGAGGGTGAGGAAAGTCAACTCTCCATCTCGAAATGCTCTCACATTGCTACATGTATACATTCATTGCCAGGGAAGTTCTACTCACTGCCTTCTCGCACTACAGGTGTTGTTTACGAAATTTAGAGGACGAAAACCGAATGTCCGACACTTTAATCGGGTTCGTGGATATGAAGGATCCACCTAGGGGAATTCGAAAACCCTCATTTCAAACCGATGGTATACATGGGCTCCAGGATCCTAAGGAAACAAATGGTGTATGAACATATTATTGGTCACCAGCTAACATGGTACTGCATTTTCGAACGATGCTTCATTGTAATGAGGATCAGACCCTTGAGTCGAAGGCTCCGGGTATGGCCCCCTAAGAAAACTACCTGCTTTGGTTTGGGAACCCGGGCAGTATCACAGACAAAACACAAATCAAGTGACTTGTGTGGCGCATATGTATTTGGTACCCCTTTGTACCAATATTTATGTTTTCAAATAAATAATAAATAAATAAAAACTAAATCAGTAACATTGTTTATTAAGTTTCTATCATGAGATTCCTAAACAAAGTAACTAGTTAAAATACTTACTTACTTACTTACGCCTGTTATTCTTAATGGAACATAGGCCACCGACCAGCATTGTCCAACCCACTCTGTCATGGGCCTTCTTTTCTAGTTCTATCCAATTCTTGTTCATTTTACTCATGTCTATCTCCATTTCCCGGTGTAATGTGTTCTAACCAGAAAAATGATTCACTAGGAACTCATGACAGAATAATATTGAATATGCATATGATTTATGTACAAAATCAGTTCGTTGACTAAATAATTGCAGCACATAACATTTCATCATTGAACTCAACATTCAAAACTCTTCACTTACTATGATTTGAACAGATAAGATAGTATCCAATGCTTTCGTACAGAAAAAACTTATAACTCAAAGACAACTTCACGCACACACCAGTAGGTACATGATCATGTTCTGAAACCTCCAAATAGTAAGTTTTTTTTTCCAAAGAACTGAATCACTTATCTAATTAATAAGATTTTAGAAACACCATATTATCTTTATAAAAAATATCCATTTTAAAAACGTTTCGCATTTTTGTTTTAGCTTATTATCTCTGGTTTGGTTGGAACGTGTATTTGTTTTCAGCATAGAATTCCTTCAATCTCACCACAATTAATGAATATTATCCAAGTAAGTTTAATGAATATTTTCCATAGTATTTTCTTCATTGATAAATTAAGATTATATTACTGTTCTAGCAGCCATAGGTGTTAAGATCTAGCTTCAATCAATCAATGATGCTAGCTCAGTTGTATAGAGGTAAAGAGTTTACACGAAACTGAAAGTCTTCAATTCGAGTCCCGTATGACGGACGGTCATTTCGTCCTAGATGGGACTCCTCAGCAGTGCGTATTCACGATACCACCCCACGAGATTTGAACCCAGGACCTTTGATACTTCCAGGTTTTCCATGGTGGTTTAGCTTTCATTGAATCATGAACTCAACTACTACAAACACCACAAAAACCTCCTTCTGAGAAATGACAGAATTGAAACCAGTTCAGTTAATTCATGCTTAAATTCATTACAAGATGATTGTAAATTTGTTTAGATCACAAACACTTATTGAAACTAAACATTTTAACGTAAGTTGAACTTCAAAAATTATGTACAAAATGAAACATTCCCTAAGTCTTTTCAGTACTTCACTTTGAAAGGTTCACCTGAAATGTTTAGTTTAAAAAAACGAACTGTCGGTTCACCTAACAACGAAAACAGAGAGCGCGTAACAACATAGCGATAATTACTAAATTATGTAAATCAGGTCTACCATAAAGCATGTGTCATATAACACAGTGTTATACTGTTCATGTTAGATATTCAAAAGAGCTAAGGTTACTAGGGACAGTGTTAACGTAAGGTGACAGCATGTAGGTGGTTTTACTTAAGGAATTCACTAATAAAAATAGCTAAACACTTAAAGTTCCTGTAATATCACTTGTAGAATGAGATATACTTACAGGTGCTGGGACATTTAATACATTTTCAAAGGAGCAGTGGGTGAGATTACAATTTATGGACAACCTTTGAACGGTGCTCAAGCGACCTTCAAACTGATTACCGAATAACTAGGACTAAATAAAGGTTATAAACCAGTATGAAGAATTTGAATGATGATTTACAGTTGATGATTAAGGTTAAATATTAGATTTGAAGTTTTCATCACGAACTGACATCAGCTACAATGCCAAGAGTGAAATTGTTACCAAAATTCCAAACTTGTTATCTTTTACCTGATTGGTTCATCCATAAATGATACATCAGTGCAGCGAGCAAATAATGAGAGTGATTTTATCGTATGGATAGAAAAGCAAGATTCTCCGATACAACACAGAATGCGCCAATCCAGTCACAATTTACGGAGAAGATTTGAAAGATGTAAAAACCTTTACATATCTGGACAGCATCATTGATGAACAGGGTGGATCTGATGCAGATGTGAAGGCGTGGATCAGCAAAGCAAGAACAGCATATTTACAATTGAAGAATATCTGCAACTCAAAACAACTGTCTGTCAACCAACACCAAGTTCAGGATTTTCAATACAAATGTCAAGACAGTTCTACTGTATGCGGCCGAAACCTGAAGAACTACGAAAGCCATCATCCAGAAAATACAAGTGTTTATTAACAGTTGTCTACGCAAAATACTTCGAATCCGTTAGCCGGACACTATTAGCAACAACCTACTGTGGGAGAGAACAAACCAGATCCCAGTAAACGAAGAAATCAGGAAGAGGCGATTGAAGTGGATAGGATACACATTGCTGAAAGCACACAACTGCGTCACAACACAAGCCCTCACATGGAATGCTCAAGGTCAAAGGAAAAGAGGAAGACAAAAACACATTACACCGGGAAATGGAGATAGACATGAGTAAAATGAAGAAGAATTAGATGGAACTAGAAAAGAAGGCCGATGACAGAGTGGGTTGGAGAGTGCTGGTCAGCGGCCTATGCTCCATTAGGAGTAACAGGCGTAAGTAAGTAATTAAGTAAGTAACAGATTATTCCAGAGTCTAAAAAAATTCACACATAAATTAATTCATATAAAGAAATAATTTAGAATGAGTTGATTACACTAATCACAAAGAATTACAGATGTTATTAGTGAATAGTATCTGTACATTGAATTACATGATTCAATATAAAGAAGATTTTAGTTCAAGTCTCATCTTCCAAAAAAAGGATCAAGTCAAATAAAGAGTTTATTTTAACTATTGCTGATTAAGAAATTGTTATAACTCTGTTTTCTTCTTATGGTTAATGACCCAGCTATTCCTATTGCTTAGTATTCTCGGACATCGATTCACTCGACAAGTCCCCAAATCAGAACATGGTTGAACAGGAAAAAAGATTATATTCCAAATAGCAAGTCAGAAGCCAGTAGGAAGCACAATAGGGGAAAACGTCGGTATATTTATAGTTTTTTACATAAGAAGATTCCAGAATATTCTCCAACTATCGACTAGTGCCGATTGGATAAGAATCAGCCAATCAGCGTGCACCAAAACAATCATACATTGAGCATGCTTTAATCTAGTCTATGTCCCGCTAACAGAAATAAAAACCAACCAAGTAAAAGGTTTTAGATTCGAGTTCACTTATAAAACATTGATTAGTTAACCAATATCACCAAGATACAATCATAATAGTTTCAACATAATCAAATTTCTTCTATTAAATGATTTTAATAAATTATTTTATTTTATTAAATTTTATCAATTTTAGATTATATCTGGTTTATTATCATTAAGTTGTTTTATAATATGTCTTACAACAAGTATATATACTGGAAAAAAAGGTAGTTTAATTGCATCTTATGATAATACATGTAAAATGATATCAATAGAACAATTATTAGAACAAAGACAACAACAACAACAACACCACCCCCAACAACCCCAACAACAACCCCAACAACAACATCACCACCACCCCCAACAACAACCCCAACTTACATACAATACAAAAATAATCAATAATTCAATTAGTAATAATAAATCATTTTTCAAACCATGTTGTATAGAAGTCAATAAAAATATCTGTGAATGTTATATTAATTATAATAAACGTATAGAATATTATCATTATATCTCATGTCATTTATTATTTTCATCCATTAAAGATTATATAATATTACAATCAGCATTAATGTGTATTGGTTGTGGTGTATCATTATGGTTATGGTTATTATTTATAGAAAATAAATTAAAATATTATATTCATAAAAAATATACAAGAATAAGTTTTTCATCAACACGTAGTTCAATTCCAGAAATATTCATTGAACAATATGATGATAAAACAAGTAGTATAGATATGAATGAAATAGAATGAATAATTGATTTTAGATTATTTAGAATAATATAGATGATCTACTATCTATGAATCAGTAAACAATATGAAATATTATTCAATTGTATATAATGAACATAACTAATGATTTAGTGTGCTGTTAAGAAATTGGAGGTTTGTGTATAATAAAGAAGATATTTTTAATTGCTCCACCATCTCCTCCTCCTCCTCCTTCTCCCCGTCCTCGTCTTCGTTCTCCCCTGGCCAATTTCAAAGCCAATTCATCAATAATTATCTTGACTATTAAATGATCTATTTTCTATTGATTATTATCGTTCATGAGAATAAAGTAAAATAATCAATAATCAATAAATATGTAGTAGATTATAGATCACAAATTTCAGGAACTTGTTATGAATTCGAATAATCTACACTTTCACTTATTTATTAAACTTTAAAATTTGAAATCTGTCAACATTCTGATTATTTCGATAATCTATAAACAATATGAAATACTATTCAATTGTACATAATTAATATAAGAAATGAGTCGATAATAAAAGAGGAAATCGCTTTGCGTATAAAAAAACAAACAAATCTCCAACTGCTCCTCCTCCTCCTCCTTCCATGGCTAATTTCAATGCCAATTAATCAATAATAATCTTAATTATTGAATGATCTATTTTGTATTGATTATAATCTTTCATGATAATAAAGTAAATTAATCAATAATCAATAATTGTGTCCATTTCTATTTGATCAGATCAATAAAATTTTATTATAAATGTTTACAATGAAAACAAACAAAAGTGTCGGTTATACAGTTTTCCATTTCATTATTGAAACAAACAATGTTCTCTCTCTATATATATATATGTGTGTGTGTGAAGACATGTAACTAACTGTAAATTTTATAATTATATATATTATGTAATTGATTATTGAATCTTTATTGATTATTGTATTATTGAATTACTATCGATTATATTTCTTGTTGTATGTTTAACTTTTGCAAATATACCTCATAATAATAATAATAATAATAATAGTTATTATTATAGAAAATTTCTTTGTCAAAATATCCTAACTCATTACAATATGGTAGTTTCATCAGATAATTGAAATCAACTAATGGAGTAAATCCCTCAGTTAAATAAATGGGAGGGATCTTGGATGCGCAGTGCTGAGGAGTTTCATACTGGGACAAAACGGTCGTTCAATGCTTCTAAGTTTTCTATGGTGGTCTAGCTTCAATTGACTGATGAATTCAACAATTAAACTGCTATAATATCCATAAAACCTCTCTCTAATTATAATCATCATATGGTCATAAATGACGGTCTCCAAGAGGTATTTCCTGTAGTCCTAGTGAAAAGCCGTGACTGGTGGAGTTCAACCAGGTATGTAGTGAGATAGTAACTCACTAATGTCAATGGTGGATGTGACTCTCAAATTCTTGGATTAGTTGGAGCTATACAATAACATCGTTGAATACCGGCTCAGTGGTCTAGAAGTTAAGCGCACGCACACGAGGCTATTAGGTCCTGGTTTCGAAACTCGCGGGAAGGGGACGATGTTGTGGATGCGCATTGCTGAGGAGTTTTGTACTAGGAAGAAACGGTCGTCCGGTGCTTCCACATGTTCCATGGTGGTCTAACTTCAATTGACTCGTGAATCCAACTATTAAATTACTATAATATCCACAAAACCGCTCTCTGAAATTAAACATTTAACCATAAGTATTGACCTAAATGGCAGATAATTTTTTTAATCAAAATAGTATCATTACTGTATCATTATCAATTTACGTTGATTTATTCCCTTTTAAGACTTATCGTTAATCACTACAACAAAATGGGGGATTGTCTTGGAGAGAGGTTTAAAGAAGCGACCACTCAACATAGATGTAGAACTGAACAATCTTTTGGAAATAAAGGATGTAACAACAAAGTGTAATATTATATAAGTTAGTTTCCTCGCCCCCACCTTTGGATCTAAATTGAAAATAAACAATATATGACCGTAAAACAATAAAAATTATTGATGTGTAATC